ATGGCCATTACAGAGGCCAGACAAGTACAGATCAAAGAGCACAAATGCCCGTGTACAGGAGACACACTAAGGCCCCGCAGACCGTTTCCAGAGCCGTTGCACACCGTTGGCAAGTGCACCCAGCAAACTGTCTGATTCAGTGGACAGAACAGCTGCGCGGGCGTGATCATCACTGACTCCAGTCTGAGATGCTCCTCTCAGAAACCCTGGGTTTCCGGTCTAGTTAGCCTCCTTGTGTCTTTGCCCCCAGGTCACAGGGAAGGTGTTTTGGGTCTCCTCCAGAAGCAGACAGGGGCTAAATCTTCAATCTGCTAACTGTAATGAACTGCTCAGATACAGGCTCCCCTCTGACCCGGCCTCGCCTGCGCCCCTCCACACCTCCTGAAATGGCATTTCCAGGCCTGAGGGCTTCCTCTGCTCACAGAGCTGATAAACTCGACTACCAGAGAAGAAAGCAGCCAGTGGGGGAACTGCTGCTACTACACAGAAATATGGGGCCCATCAGAAGAGTGAGCAGCACCCTAGAATCCTCGGACCTCGGGCCTCAGGCTCCCAGGGAGGTGACTCTTGGGCTCTCAGGGCCTTACCAGTCTTGGTGCCTCTGTGCTGTCCCCAAGTCCTACGATCAAGTCGCAACATGACCCAGGCTGGGACCCCAGTGACAGGAGACCAGGCGCTTCCCAATCTGAGCATCTTGGCAAGGGGAACTGCGGGGGTTCGCGAATCCTCCCCACGCTCTTTCTTGTGTGTGGCGCCAAGACAAATTAAATATAAAATCATTTTCCGTCATTTAGGCAAACCCTATTCCCACAGTTCCTAAATGCACACATTATAAATAAAACATAAACCCATCCCGATCTGATTGAAGCCTCTGCTCTCAGGGAACGGCACCAGAAAAGCCGCCAGTCACCTGTGTCCCCTTCTGCTAGGTGAGCAGGGATCCCCTAGAGGCCTCGGGGGTCACTGCAGGACCTTCTCCTGACAGAGGCCTGTCCCTCCACAAGCAATAAACCTCACAACACCCTTCAGGAAAATTCCCTTAAAGCCATTTATTTGCTTCTAGAAATGAAGTTCTCATCAGCTTGTCAAAGGATCAACAAACCTTACAAATCATTTAACCCCAATTTGACATACAATAACCAAAGTCCAGAGATATAAATATTTTGTCCATGGTCATCAGCAGCATTCCAATTGGAGGATAAGAAAACTCCAGTTCGGAGCGCCTGGGTGGCTCAGTCAGTTAAACGTCTGCCTTTGGCTCAGGTCATGATCCCGGGGTCCTGGGATCGAGCCCCATGTCGGGTTCCCTGCCTGGCGGGGAGTCTGCTTCTCCCTTTCCCCGTGCTTGAGCCTGCCTGCTCTCTCTCTCAAATAAATAAATAAAATCTTAAAAAAAAAAGAAAAGAAAAGAAAAGAAAACTCCAGTTTAAGAAAACTCATGCCTAAGATTTTCACGGTTCCAAACAGGAAATGTTGCAAATGAGTATCCCTATCCTGAAAATATTCATAATGGACAGTCTTTTAAAAATATGTCTGCAAAGTGAAATTCCGTGTAGCACCTTAGCATCCCACCCATGCCTCTTAGAGAACTAGCATATGGAAAACCTGGGTGCCAAACCAATCACAAATGTTCTTCTCCACTGCGAGGTCTGAAGACTGAAGGCCGGCCGTGTCTGCGTGGCCGCCTGTTAGCTGCTGACCAGTGCCAGCATGCATCAATGTGGATTCAAGTGGATTTCCCCAAATCCACTGCCTTGCCCCGAAAATATAGCATGGAAAAATCACAAACCCTGCCACATCATAAGCAGCCATTTAGGGATGGAGTCAGTATCTCCCTGTAGTTTTACACACTCCGTAACCAATTTTTCACATCAAAATTTGTGACACATGGGCTGACAGCAGGACAGAACATTAAAAATCAGGACCTCCCTGAGAAATCCGGGCCATACGGTTGCTATGCCGACACCCCACAATGCCAAACAGCGCCTCCAAGGTCTAGAAGCAACTTGGCTGGCTTCGAATAGCCCAGACATTGTGAAGGCAGAGTTGCCCCCCTGGCCCAGGCTGTTAGGCAGACCCTCCCTTTCCCAGCTCTGCTCTCTGATTCCCCAGGGGAGTGATGATGACGCCTGTCTGAATTTTCTCAGCCTCTGTCAGCAGGGCTGGCCACATCATTCCCTAAGAATTTGAAAACCCACATGCAGCGTCCTGGCCCAACTAGACAGAGACATGTTTTGGAATGGCAAGACCAGTGAGAGGTTCACCACAGCGTTCCGGGAGAAAGCAATCCTCAGCTGCACGTGCCCCTTTTTGGCTGGTCATAGGGTCCAACTCTCGGAGAAGATGAACATGCATTCCCCTATCTCTTTGGTTATGGTCAGGTTGGAGGCAGGAACAAAGTACTGGGGGGAGGGGGGTATGAAGCTTATCTGCTCCCAGAGACGGGCAGAAGTCCTCCTTCATTTGCCTAACAAGTACTTATTAAGTCTTGCTGTGTGCATCAATATGGAGATGTAAGAAGCTTCCAGCATAGTTCCTGCGTGACAGCGTGTATGACTAAGAATCCTCCTGAAGTGAAATACCTTGAAAGGTAGGAAGACAATGCAAGGCTGTGTCCAGGGAGGTGTGTGACTGGGGACCAATGCCTATGGAACAGACACCCAGGGCTAAAACTGAAGAACAGAGAGGGAGCTGGCCATGCCCCTAGGTGGCCAGAGAACAGTCTACAGCTCACTGCCCGGAACTCCCACTCTCCCTCTCTTTCTGCACCTCCACTCCCTGGCTCCCGGGATCTTCCTGATAATCCTGCACACTTTAAACTTAGCTTCCAGTTCACAGCCCTGCTCCAATCTGCAGCAAGTCAAACCCCATGGGAACGAGGAGCGGGCCAGAAGATGTTCACTGGCACCCCCTCATGACCTCCAATTTCCACCCCTCAAAACAAGGGCCATGTGCGTCCAGCAGAGCCCACCCCACCATTCCAGGGCTCTCGGTCTGAGCTGCCTTCCCAGCAGATCTCAGAGGGCAAGGAGGAGTGAGGATAGGTTCAAGAGCAAGGTCAGGATTGGGAAGGACAGACAACTGTGAGAAGACCCAACCTGGGCTCTGCTCCAATCTGCAGTTTCCCTGAGCTCTCTTCCTTTCCATTCCTCCCTCCCCTCCATCCTCCCCTCCTCCTCCCCTTCCAGCTCAGACCCTCCACCCCGCACATCAACAGAGTGAAGGACAGAACATCTGGACAGCCTGCCTCTCCCCTGCGCTGCAAGCCCACCTACCCTGAGACCAGCGCTGGCCCTCGAAGGATGTAAGAACGGGCTGCTCTCGGATGGGTCCATGCCTGAGCAAGCTCCCTGCCTGTCTGGGGCCACTACTGGTTTGGCCAGTTCCCACTCCAATCTGTCAGTCTGCCCAGATCCAGTACCCTGGGGTCTTTACACTGGAGGCTTTATCCTCATCAGCCGAATTTCCGTCCAAACATCCTCAAGTGCTTTGGAAACAGTTCTTAGTGGCAGGGACCCTCAGCTCAGAAGGGAACACTCCACCGAATCAGGCTCACCTGCAGAGTTCAACCGGACAGGAATCTGGGAATTGGGGGAAGGAGGCTGGGGAAAACCCATAAACCCCAAGGTCTCCTCAGGCAAAGCTAGGAAATATGGTTCCTCTGCAGGGTTTTTTTTCCTTCTTGCGGGGCGGGGGGGATTGACAAGACACGGCATCTGGGGCAGGTTGGGAATATGAGAACACTTCCACACCGAGAGCGGCCTCCACCATATTCCTGGGGCTCAGCTGCCTCTGCAGAAATATCCCAGATTCTACTTCACACAAGCCTTCGCCCTCCTGAACCCGCACCTCCCTCCCGGAGGAGCTCCACACTTCTGCCTCCGCAGGCCCAGATCTTTCCCATCAGAATGGCCACCCTGCTCTACTCTCCCACCCTCAGCCCCCACACTTTGCCCTCCCTCCTCCTGGTCCTCTTCTGGTCAAGCCGCCCCAGCCCAGCAGCTTGTCCCGAGGGTCGCCCAAGGCTCTCGCCCGCCACCGGCCCCGGTCGGAAGAACGCGGCCCGCCCGACCGCGCCTCTCTGCCGGTCCCAGAGCCGCCCGCCTCAACAGGTGCCCCTGCCGCACAGGGCTGTCACCCGGGGCCCCGGGCGGAGGCGGCGACAGCAACGCCCCCTGCAGGGCGGCGGGGGGTCCGCACGCCCCAGCCCCAGTCCCCGGAGCGCCTAGGGCCCCGGCAGCGCCGCGGAGGCCCCCGCCGTGCTCTGCCACCTTTGTTTCCCCGCTGGCACATCGCGGAGCTGACCTCGAGAGAGGGAATCTCCCAGCCCTAGCGCACACACTACCAGCTCGCCCGTCGTGAGGGACCCTCGTGTTGGGGTGAAGGGCGCATACGGGAAGAGACCTTTCCCGGACCCAGAGAATGCCGCGGGTGTTAGTGGGGGAGTCCTCCGTGCCAGAGAAGCAAGTTCAAGTTGATCCGGGCCGAAAAGGGGGCGCAAAGCCGGGCGCAGCCCCTAGCGACCCTGCCTTACCCAGCGCCCCCACCCCACGTCCTTTGCCCCCCAGAGACTAGAGAGGGGGTGCGCACCGCCACCTACGCGCTCAGCCGCGCGAGGTTCCCGCTGCCGGCTCGCTGCGCGCACGGTGCAGCCGCCTTCCTGGGGCGGGCGAGGTGCGGACAGTCCCTGGCCCCCGGCTCCGGCGGCGCAGTGCTGAGAGAGCCACGTTCCCAGTCGCGCGCGCACGCAGGGCCCACCAAACTTGCAGCACTTTCTCCCAGCCCCCACCCGCTGTCACCCTCCCTCCATCCTTGCGCCCTGGCCCGGCTGGCCCGACAGAGGTTGCCATAACAACGGACAGGAATGCTCCAACATATACAAAGCCGGCAGGGCGCGGCGGGCACGCAGCCCCCGGCCCCGCGCCCTCTGCAGCCGCGCGGGGCTAAGGACGCGCGCCGCGGCTCCCCGGCCGGCCGCCCGGCGCGCAGGGCGTACTCACAATGAGCGGGATGGTGCGGTCCTCCCGGAGCTGCTCTGGCCTCCCGCCGGCCCTCTGCGCGCCCCGGCCACCGGAGGATGCTGCGTGGGCTCGGTTGTCCTGCCATAAGTAGTAGAAAGTGCCCAGGATCCAGGCAACGGTCAGGATGGCGATGGCATTGGCGCGGATCTTCCTCATGGTGGGCGGGCGGGCGCCCCGAGTGGGGGCCCGGGCCGGCTTGCTCTCGGGGCCGGGGTGGGGGCGCTCGCAGCCCCAGATGTTTGTTTTCGCTCGCGCCTGGCTGCTCAGTCCTGCAGAGCAGAAAAGGGAGAGAGGTGGGGGGTGGGGGGTGATAGGGAGAGACAGGAGCGCGGAGCGATCCTCACGGTCCTAATGCCCTTCAGCCCCGAGCGCGCGCGTCCCCCGGGCGCCCATTCATTCGCGCGCAGAGCCCGCCCCGCGCTCCAGCCCCCGCCGGCCGCCCGGGCCGCTGCGCACGGGGAGAGGAGCACGGCGGGTGCGAAGCGGCGCGGCAGCAAGGCCCCGCGAGCCTGACGCCCGCGGTGGAATGGCGACGGGCCAGAGCCAGCCTCCGCTCCCACCGCTCAGCGACCGAACGCCCGGTGGCTGCCCCCGCGCGGCCCTGGTCGGTCCCGCCTACTTCCACACCTCCCGCCCTTCCCCCCCCCCCCCCCCCCCCCCCCCCCCCCCCCCCCCCGGCCCAAGCGGCCCTGAGTCACCCGCTGGAGATGCGCGACCCCGGCCCGGGCCCGCGCCGCGAAGCTGCAGTTCTGGGCTGCGCTCGGAACTGCGCTCTGGCGCGGGGTTTAAGGTGTGTTCTGCGAGGCCTCGGGAAGGGACGGCTGGGCGGGAGGAGAGTCTGGAGTTTGCACGGGAATCCTCCGCAGCCTAGGATTCCGAGCCGCCTGAGGGCCCGCCTGGAGGAGGGATTGGAAGCTGGTGCACTTGACGTTCGAAGAGAGCGGAGGGGGTGCGACTCTGCTTCACCGCCAAAGAAAGGATAGGGGTACACGTTACCCACATCTTCCATTGGCCTGGGGCTCCCAGCTTTCATGAGTCTTCCCTCCAGACCTTTCATTTCCCCTGAACAACCGTGAGGTATTATCACCGCTATTTGTCAGGAAAAAGGAGAGCAGAGAGGCTGGAAGATTGGCCCGAGGCCACACGACTAATTAGTGGGCAGAGCCCAGTCTAGAAGCCATCTCTACGTTTGCCCTTTCCACAAAGTGCAAAACACGGTGGTGTGAGACACGGACACAGAAATCACGGAGATTTTGCCCCAGCCCCAGAGGCATTGAGAATTCCGTGTGAACTGCTCGTGTTCAGAGCAGAAGGCAAGGTGGGCTAAATGAGTTCTAGGAGAGCAGCAGTGTCGGGCCCAGAGCAGACTCACAGCGAGTAGATGTTACATAAACTAAGCCGGGATCACAGAGGAAGAAATAATGTATTGCAAGGTAGTCTTAGAGAAGGCTTCTCACAGAAGATGGATAAAGCTTTGAATAAATTCTTAAGAGACAGGGCAGGGCAAGGTATTAGATGCATGAATAGCCAGAGCAAAGGTCCAGAGGATGGCAGTGCTTGATGTGTTCCAGAAAAGAGAGCTGCCTGGTATTGCTGGGGCCCAGGATGCTGGAAAGGACTTGGGAGTTGACTTTGGGCAGGCTGGGCCCTGGAATGCCAGGGGCAGAGTTGGCAGGGAGTTTGCTTCTTGCTGATGCTGCTGGACCCTGGCTCTCACAGAGGGTCCCGGCCCACATAATGTCCCTGACTCTAACTGAAGCTGCCTCAGGAATCAGGCAAATGTGAGGTCACAGCTCATGCCTTCCCTAGCCACCCCCATCAGCAACCCCCATCAGCACCTTGTTTCTCCAACATGCAGGACTGAACCATGCGTGTAATAGTTGCTCATTCCGTTTCTGGTGGAATGAGGTAAAATGAAGAAAGAAAAGCCTAACGAGTTTTTGCTGCAGAAAGATCATCGTTGCCACTGCAGTACCCTCTTCCTCACTCAGAACACGAACCGCGAGGACATGTTGACAAGTCCAGAAATGGCCCCACTGAGAATAGGACCCTGGAAAGAGAGTGTACAAAGAGGGTCTCACAGAGGGTAGCAGGGAATCCACGGCCTAAGCCAGGTGGCAGTCAGGAACAACAGGAGATGGGTGTTGAGGTGCCACTGGCCCAGGAGCCGTGGGCCAGCCTTGCTCTCCTGGGGTCTCTTGCCTGGGGAGTTTAATTAGACTGCCATAGAGGCCAGGATTCATTTCCAGAGATAGAGAAAACCACTGTCAAGCCATAGCCTGGTTTCCGCAGGAATCATGGCACTGATAGTGGTCATGTCCTCTGGGGGAAGCCAGGAAAACCTTGCTGCTTAAGAGTCAGGACCCAAGGGCATTTCCAAACAACAAGAAAATGTGATGGGGGGCGCCTGGGTGGCTTAGTTGTTAAGCGTCTGCCTTCGGCTCAGGTCATGATCCCGGGGTCCTGGGATCGAGCCCCGCGTCGGGCTCCCTGCTCAGCGGGAAGCCTGCTTCTCCCTCTCCCACTCCACCTGCTCGTGTTCCCTCTCTCGCTGTGTCTCTCTCTCTCTCTCTCAAATAAATAAATGGAATCTTTAAAAAAAAATGCAAGGGAACTGCCCTCCTGTGCCCACTTCCACACAGGCTCTCAGGTCAGTGAAGTGGAAAGACTTGGGGAATGGCTCTGTTGCCACAGGCTGCTTCTGTCAGCCCAGCCTGGCCTATGCATGTCTAGTTGCCTTTGGTCTTGAGAAAACCAGGTAAGAGGACATGGGATCCAAAGACATTACATCAACCCCCTAGTGAGAAGCTCCAAACTCACCCTAGGCATGGGGAATGAAGCTGGAAATCAAAATCAGGCTGACGGGGTCTCTGATGGCTCGAGAAGAAGGGCTGTACGAGGAGAGGGAGGGAAGGAGGAGCTGGAATTTGGCAGGATTTTTGCATGTCTCACCTCTTACTCCCCAGGGGTCAGTGGTGAGGATGCTATGCCTCTGTACCAATTGTCACTCCCTGGTAGCTCTGTCTGGACCAGAAGGCTGTCTGCCCCCACCCATGCACCCCCATGCCACCACCACGAGAAAAACCCCATCGGGACATGATGTTTGACTTCACAGCCAGCCCTCCCTTAGATGGACGCAGTAAAATTTCCCCCACTCCCCCGAGAGCGGGGGTGGTGGGGTGGGGGTAAGGAGGTGGGTCGTTACCATGCTCATTTGGCTGACAGAAATTTGACGTAGGCAGAGGTTAAGTGATGGGCCTCAAGTAACAGACACGTTGGAAGAGCCAGGAACTTGGGGCTGCCACCTCAGCTACAGCCCATGGGTTTTCTTCCAGATTTGAATCCTAAATAGGTGCAGGGCTGAGGCTCAGCCCTCCCTGAGATGGATTTCAGTGTTCAGAGATGACAGTGAGCATTGTATCCTCTCTGGTCCTAGGAATGGAGTCCAGCGGAACCAGAAAATCAAAGCGACACCAAGAGACTTGGTGTTGCCCGGCATTCACTGAACAAGAGCGGTAATAATAGCTGTAGTTCACTGGGTACCCAGCAGGTGCCAGCAGCCGAGCCGGCTCCTCACATCTGTGATCTCTGAAGCGCCACAGCCCGCAGACCCGGACCTGGCAAAAGCGGGTGGGCAGGCGACGAGAGCCACACAGCAGGGAAGAGGCGAGGCTGGATTTGAGTCCATTCCCCACGCCAGTGTCTGGGCGCCAGGACAGGGCTTCTGAGCACACTGGGCGGTCTGCAGGGTGGTCAGAAGTTCTGTGTGCAGGGACCTCAAGCTCCCCACTGGGGCCTCCATTTTCTCCTCTGGAAGAGGAGGGATGCGGGGAGACGACCTTCAAGGTCCCTCCAACTGTGCCCTTTTGGACTGCTGGTTCCTTGGGCATTTTCTTCCAAAATGTGGCATTGCTCTCCGCATGGGCCTTCTCTTTTAAAGCTGTCGAAGCCAGCACTCAGGTCAGCTGGGCAAAGCCATGTGCCCTGGGTGCTCCCAGAGGCCCCAGGGAACTCTCTGCCCCTGTGCATGTGATGTCGGGGTGGACAGCAGAGGGGGGGAAGGCTGTACAGTTCGGGTGAGACCCTGGCTCAGGAGTGGGACCACCTGTATTCAAATGCTCGTTCTGTCCCGTATTAGGAGAGTGGCTTGGGCAAATTCTTACCCTCAGTTGCCTCAACTGTAAGGGGTATTGACAGCCCTTAACTTGCAGCACTGTTGGGAAAGGTAGGAAATAAAGCATGTAAACCCCGGTGCTGGTAAGCCGCCCAGGCCCCCACCCCACGTCACCCCTCGTACAGGTATTGCCACTGGCTTCTGGGTGAGGGGCTCTCGAAAGGCCTGCCCAGGGCACATGCGGGGGATTGCTCACCAGGGCTGCGAAGGAGGACAGACCTCAGACCGGCCCAAGAAGGATGACTGTCCTGCCCCAGCAGGGGATGGCTGCACGTCTCTTTAGAGCCTATGCTGAGCAGCCTGGAGGTGGCAGAGGCAGCGTGCGGGGCCCCGGCTGCTGCTGGGTGTCCATTCTTGCCAGCATCCCCATCACCCTTGAGACTGTGTCAGCTTAGATGCCTCTTGCCCAGTCTGCAGCTGCAGCAGGGACCCGGACGGTGGGTGAGGGGGACTGGTTAGACCGCCGTGTCGGCTCTAAGCAGAAAAGGAGGCAGACATGGTGAACGGAACGTATGTTACCAGGCAACAGGCACTGCGCCAAAGCGAGATCTCAGAATACTCACCATGACCCTGTGAGGAAGTGGGGGACCCTCTCCCTTGCACAGACGAAGAGAATGGTGCCTGCAGAGATCCCCCAGCCATCAGTGGCACGTACCGTCCCCACTGCCATCACTGAAGGCACCATGGTACCTAAGGGAACGTTATTTCTAAGCCAAGTTTCTTATAAACCATCAAGGAGAGAACCTGGCTCTTTGAAAGGAACTCCAAGAGTCTTAGCAGTCCTAGATCTCCTATTTGGCTTTTCAGATTGGTTTCTGCCACTGGGGTGTAAGCCCAATGAGGCTAGGAGCTCCCCGTGGTCTCCCCAGCACTTAGAACAGCGCTTGGCATGTAGCCGCACATAGTACATGCTCAGTAAGTACTTGTTGCTGGCAGGAAGCGAAGGAAGAGGAGTGGGTAGCTGTGTGCAACATCGGTGCAGGACTGGAGCCCAGAGAAAGGGAGTGACTCGTCTGGGGTCAGCGTGGGCCAGTGGGTGGGGAGCAACTCAGGTTCCCCAACAGTGCTTCCGCAGGAGCACTGTCCCCCTCCCTGCAACCCCAGGAC